GCCAGAGTTGGCAATCTATGTGTCTGTAGCTGGTCTTTTTGGAGGACTCACACATGTTCTGTGCCCCAGGATCCACATGGAGCTCTGTCAGATTCAGGGTGTTCCTCTACTTCCTTGTCTGGAACCTTCCACCCACAGAGCGGCTCCCTTGAGTAACAGCAACTGTCGGGTGCTCCAGGTAGTTCTGGTGAGATGGGTGATGTTCCGCTCTGGATACTAGGCAGCTCCTCTGGCCCCGTCTTTGAAAGTCTCCGCCTTGAAAAGCTGACATCAGCCACCGTTATCCAGGCTTTGTCCTTCCGGGCCCGCGTGCCTGCACAATCTTGAGAGAGAGGGCTGCTGAGCCCGCAGTGTCCTCCCGTTGCGCATGCTCTGTAGCTTCGCGTCTCTGTGAGGAGCCTGGGAACCGGGTGCTGTCCCGGCCGCGTGGGATGTGGAAGCCTCGTGTGGGGCTGTGCAGTAACCTCACAGCAGGATGCTTATGGGTAAAAGGAGCCCAGATTTGAACCCAGTCTGGCTCTCATCTGTGCTCTTCTCTTCCGTTACCAAAGTACTGTCCGACTCAAAGCTCGGTCACCCAGGGGGACGAATGAGGCAGCACATAGGAATAAACAATGTGCTGCAAGCAAACTTGAAGAAGGGTCCAGTTTCAGAACGCTCCCCTTCCTTGGACATTAATCCTCTTTGCTGACCTTCGGGGACTTTTTCCTGGACTTTTCCAGCCTAGCATAAAGCCAAAAGTGTGTGTGTGCAGCCCTGCCTGTCTTCAGGTAAGGGTCCTGTGTGCGGACCCGGGTTCTGAACCCTGCAGCCCGCACTGCTTCCCAGTCACCTCACCCAGGGTGCCCCTGCCCGGAACTGCAGCACCTGCGGCACCGGCTCTAGCTCCGCCTGGAAAACAGGACGCTCCCCCACCTGGGCTCCCGCTGGGTTGTATGCTTTTGCTCTGAGGGTGGAGAACCCAGTTTTGAGATTCGGTTTTGAAATGTTTGCCCCCAGTCTTGGCACAGATTCCTGCAGGCTTCTTGGGAAGTGGGCTGGGCTGGCGGGCTCGGAGGAGGCAGGGATGAGCGGAGCAGTCTTCTTTTCACAGCCCAGTCGCCTCTGGAAAGAGCGGGGCGCCAGGGTGTGCAGCCTCACTAGGCATGCTAGGCTGAACAGTGAAGCCAGGCAGGGCTGCTCGGGCAGGTCGGGAACCACGGCTTGTTCACAATAAGCTGCTCGGTGTGTTGGTTCCAAGCTCTACTTCTAAACAAAAATTTAAAAGTTACAACTCAGGAATATTAGCATATTGTTTTGAGTCTTTTTTTAAAATACTGTACTGGGGATTGAGCCCAGGGTCTTCACACTTGAACTGTGTCCTCAGTCCACGTTTATTTTGAGAAAAAAAATCTCACATTGTCTCCAGCTGCTAAGTTATTGAGGCTGAGCTTGAACTTGCGATACTCCTGCCTCAGCCTCCCAGAGTGCCAGGATTACAAAGGAGTCTTCAGATTACGCTAATTTTTTAAAAATGATTTTTAAGATGGTTCTTTCCCAGGGTAATAAAAAAAGTACTTTCTATGTGCTAGATGTTATTTCAAGGTACTTTGTAATTAACCACTTTAACCCTTGCAGCAGACTGCGAGGCGGGCAGTGTTATTATCCCTGCTGTACACAGGGAGAAGCTGAGCAGAGAGAGCTGAGGACCCTGCCCGGACTTCACCTGGTATTTGGCAGGGTGGGGTCAGACCCCAGGCTCCATCCTCAAGACCTTGCCCGGAATCAGCTTCTGGACAGCGTGGGTGGGTGAGTGGATGGCTGGCCGTGGTGGCTGAGGTGATGGAACCGTCCTGGGTCATGAGATGCGGTTCGTCCAGCCCCGGCTGCCGTCCTCACCTCTCCCGGCTCCTCCGTCACCACCTGTGGCAGGTGACGGTGCACCTACCCTAGATGAAACATGGAGCCTCAGCGAGGGGTGTGGATTCGCAGCGGGTCTCACAGCTGCTGGAAGCAGCCCAGGCGTCTCTGTGGCCTGGGCCTCCCGGCCTCCACTCCTGCCTTAACCACTGCACTGCACTACTTGGTGGCTTGGTAATGATTGTTCTGTGACGTTCTCCTCTGGTGCTAACCGGCCAGCCGCGTTCCGAGGCCGTGAGCGAGTTGACTCCTGGCGGCATCTGACGGGTGGGGTGGCAAAGAGTGGTTAGAAGAGAAAACTGCATTCTCTCCACTCCCGGCCTGCCCCCCAGCCCGGAGCAGCAAAGCCCGCTCCCTGCAGGGCTGTCCCTTGCTGCTGCCGTGGCGACCACCCCATTCCACGTCTACACCATCCACAGCGGCCGCCATGGGTAAGGGGACCCACCCTCACACCATCCTGAGAGTCACACAGACAGCGTTCCCACACAGCCCCCACACACAGATCCTGCACACACGCAAACACACTCGCACACACGCCCCGGGACGGGCGCCTTCCCCACCCCCGCCTCCTGCCACCTGTTTGCATTACGTCATTGGCTTCCCAGAGCGCAGTTGCACCAAAGGCCTTAAACAAAGTGGTTCTTCTTGCATTGTTTGCGCTCAAAGAGCTGACCCGGAGCCAGCTGATGTCATTGTGTGTCTTTGTGTAGCTGCTATGGCAACTGGGCAGGTGGGAGCCTTTCTGATGTCCTGGAGCAGGAGGGGCAGAACGGAATTCTAAAAAGCTCTCCGCTGTTTTTCGGAGTGTAGGGTTTTCTGGTGTACTTTCCCTGCCTTTTTTCTCTTTTAACTAGCTGCTTTTAAGTCGAATTACAGCTTGAGCACCCTAACTAAGAAGAAAGGTTGTTTCTTTTTTCCCTCCTTAAGAGTGAGTGTCTTTTGAGTGTGTCACCCTTTCCTCTGATCTGATGTGGAAAAAGTCACAGTTGCCCTTTCTGAAGAAGCAGCAGGAGCGAGAAGGTCCCACCATAGAGTCGGCGCGGCACCGTTTACACAGAGTTCTGTGGCCGCAACGCTGAGCAGATTTTAAGTAACTCTTGGGTCTCCCTTCGCGGAGCTTCTGAGAGTAACGTTGGGTGGCTTTTATTCACTTATCTTCTGAAGTGTCCACACTGAAGTTTTTTCCGTGTTTTCACATTTCTTCAGACTTTGAAAATTCTCCTCGGGCTCACATTTTATTGTTTTCATAGCATAACAAAATAATATGGAAACATCGCTGTCAGTGGTAGAAATCAGTTAAAGCGGGTTTATAGCTCTGGTCTTTCTTTTCAAAAAGTGAGGTTTTGCATTTTACCCATTTGGGATGCGGAAAGGGATTGTGACACTGCCCTTGGGGTTTCCTGGGGCTGGCCCCCTGGCTTTCTGACAGGAGGGTGCCTCAGTCACCGCGGGCCCCACGTCCACGGGCTATGAACAGTCCCGAAACTCTGGCTAGGTTAGATGGGAAGCTCCTGCCACGGTTGCCAAAGATGAGATTGAAACGGAGAAGACATGTGCAGGGCCAGACGTACGTCCTGTCCTCCTTTCAACAGAGCATGTCCTGCTCACACTTTGTGTTTTCTGCCCTGCCTCCTGGGACTATCGAAACAGACATGAGGCGTCTGTCTTTGGGGACAGATGCCGTGTTCTGGTGGCTTTCAGCTAATAAAGGTCTTCCAGTCTTTTGCGCTTTTCAAAGACTGGGCCAGCGTATCTCAACCTGTTCGGTTGAATGGCAGCTCCCACGGGGAGGACAAAACAAAGATGCCACGGCCCTCGTGTGCACCATTCGAGCCGCACAGTAATCCTCGGGGTGTAGCCGTGTGTTCAACCATGTGTAACAAACAACACAGGGAAATTTAAACAACAAACCAAATGTCAGTCCCTGTTTGCATAGTCCTTCATCTTTTGGGAGTGTTTTGAACTAGCTTTCTTTTCACATATTATTCCTATGCAGAGCATTCTCTTGGTTCTCCCGTGTGTCTCTCCATTGCCCTTTTCATGCCTGTGTAGTAGTCCATGGAATGAATAGTAACAGTTGCTTTTATGGAAGTCTTACTTGGGCTTCTCTCTTGGCCTTTGCATTAACAGCAGACACCGTGCCAGCGTCTGTGATTATCTGGCTCTGCGTTCCCTGACCTTCATCCCCATAACCGAGGTTGTACTTACTTGAGGGGTGGGGAACCAGGTGAACTGGAATTTTGTAGGCTGCACCCATGGCTCCTGTGGCAGAGCAGGCCTGGGCTCAGTGTGTCTCTCAGGTGCCTCGGAGGGTCCCTACAGGCTGACTTTCCCCCCTCCCTCCGCCAGTGGGGCAGGCGCCGCTCTCAGACCCCACGGGGCTGGAAGGTGACGCCATGCCCCAGAGGTGATGTCACTGCCCTCTCTCCGACAGATGGGGAACCCGAGGAACACAGAGATGAGCTTGCGGGGGGCTGCCACAGAGCTGGAGCTGGGTGGCACCGGGTGTATAACCAAGGCCTCTGGCTCCTCCACCAGTCCTGCTTGCAGCCACTCTGCTGGGTGCCCTCTAGGAAGATGAGCTGAATTCAGGCCTCAGTTCTGCGGCAGAGGACATCGCCCCGCCTTCCTCTGCCCTGAGTGCAGGGTTCTCCGGAGGCCTCTAGGCAGACGGGGCAGTGCTGGGTGGGAGCCGTTCCCTGGCCAGCCGGCATGAGGGATATGTTCTAAGCTGGGAGCAGTGGCACACTCTGGAGGCAGAGGAAGGAGGCTCAGGCAGGAGAATCGCAAGCTGGAGACAATTCTGGGCAACTTAGCAACAGCCAAATCCTGTCTCAAAATAAAATGTAAAAGGGCTGGGGACATAGCTCAGTGTGAAGGCCCTGGGTTCAACCCCTACTACCAAAAAAGAGGCATGTTCTACAGCCCTCTGTGCAGAGAAGGGAGGCTGGTCCCGGGGCCCCAAGTGGATCCCAGCTTTGCCCTGATTTCAGATGTCTAAGAACTCCCTGTCCTCAACACCAGCGCCCCACCTGCAGGCAGTGACCCCCTGTGCAGTCCAGTGGTCACTGTGGTCACCGTGGCTTTCTTATCTGCCGCAGGAGGGCTCAGCAGCTTCAAGCAGAACCACGAGAACTTGTGCGACAACTCGCTGCAGCTGCAGGAATGTCGAGAGGCGGGCGCAGCCGCAGCCCCCGGCCTGCTACCTCAGCCGGTGCCCAGCACCCCGGACATCGAGAGTGCCGAGCTCACGCCCATCCTGCCCTTCCTCTTCCTGGGTAACGAGCAGGATGCTCAGGACCTGGACACCATGCAGCGCCTCAACATCGGCTACGTGATCAACGTCACCACGCACCTGCCCCTGTACCACTACGAGAAGGGCCTCTTTAACTACAAGCGCCTGCCGGCCACCGACAGCAACAAGCAGAACCTGCGCCAGTACTTCGAGGAGGCCTTCGAGTTCATAGGTAACTATGCCCCTGCTGCGCTCCGCCCGGGGGTGCGCAAGGCCTGGGTGTGTTCCCGGGGTGCCTGGGGGTGTGGGCCCTGCTGTCTGCTGTAGCCAGTGTCCTCCTCAGTCCTGGCCACCAGTGCCACTTGGTGTGGCTGGGTCCAGCCACCTGGAAACACTCAGGCCGAGGGGCAGTGGCCGTGCCCCCTCCCTCTGGGCTCTCTGTTCCACCCAGTCCATGGGGCATGGGGGGTAGTGCTTCCCTCGATTAAACTAAGCTGCCAACCCTGTAGTCCTTCCCAGAGGTGGAGGAAAAAGTCACCTTTGCCAAGGCTGGTCCTGAAGCCTGCGGGGCTTACTGGTTTGCACTTGTGGGCACATCAGCCCGTGTTGGCAGTCGTGTTCGGCGTGGGGAGGTGGCGCACGTCCGTAGCACAGCTTCCTTCTTTGTGCATCTGGCCTCCCTCACCCTCCTCCCCTCCCTCCACATCTTGGTTCCCTTCCCATTGGAGAAAGTCTGTCTCCCTGACTCCTGTTTTGCCTCTTTTATTTTGTTCTTTATTTATACTGTAGTCTCTCATGTGAGAGAATCCGTGTGCTATTTAAGCTTGTGTGTCTGATTTATTTCACTTAACATTATGGTCTCCAGGTCCATCCATTTTCCTACACGAGGGAAGTTTCTTCTTCTTTATGGTAGAGCAGGACTCATGTATGTCTGTGTTGGTATGTGTGAATGTATATGTATCTATCATGTTTCCTTTTCCACTCATCTCTTGACTTTCGCTTGAACCATCGCAGGGCTGGGGTGATCATGGTGGACACTAGCACACAACAGAGTCTCAACACTTTTCCTTTCAAGTGAGTCCAGCCTTTGTTGCCCTGACCTGCAGCTGGCACTTTTCCTCCTTCATGCAACGGGTTGCTCCCCTCCACTCTAGGAAGAACACACTTGTGGCTGCTGCTCCTCTATCAGAAGGAAGCCTTGGATCTCACCGATGCTGTGGCCTGCTGGAGAGCTGGAGCTCCAGTCACTTGCCCGGCTGTTGTCCTTGCTAGTGTGCCTGCGGCGTGGGCCACAGGGTGCTCAGGATGGAGGGCAGTTCAGGGTGGCCATGGAACTCAGAGCAGAGACTTCTCCATGTTGTGGGACTGTCAGAGAGGGGACCAGGATCCCTGACAGAGGCCATCCCACAGCATGCTGGGTGTTGTGATGCCCTAAGTGTTGGCGACCCTAAGTCGCCAATCAGCAGTGCAGAGTGCGCAGATGCCTCTCCTTACCCTGAGTCATGATGAGGAACTCTGCCACCGAGCAGACAAGGGGCGTGCTGCTTGATCAACAGTGTGTGGCTGGAGCTCCACCAGACTTAACTCCAGGTGGAGGAAGTTGGGAGGTTGTTTTCCGTCGGACGAACAGCATAACCGTGCTTGTTCTAATAGGATTTCAGCCAAGGCGCTCGGCTCGAGTTCCTTGTAGATTACTCAGGCTTACCTGGTTTTTATCGTTAGAAGAAAAACAAAACCAGTACAAACAGCATTTAGCTGGAAGAACAATTCAGAACCATGGCCTGCAGAGGCACAGTTCTTTACCCATTGTCCTCTTGGATAAACTGAAATCTTAGCACGTTCCTTTCGGGAAGGCAGGGCAGGCTTTAGAAGCGTGATCGTCCCTGAGGGTTTCATAGGAACTAAGACGCGTCTAGGGTTAGGGTTGACGCTGAGTGAGGCGATGTGATCCCCACTGAGGCAGGAGGACGGAGGCTCTGGGGCCTTGGGTGACCCGTACGCTGAGGTCGCTCAGCTGCTGCACCCGGACACAGCCAGGCTGGCGCTAAGCGCGCTTTCTCTCTCCACGTCCCTTCTGGTCTCGGCATGAAGGCCCACAAGTGGTACGTTCCAAAGACCAGACCTTGGAAAAAGGAGATTTTTTGAAAAGCCATTTTCCTTTTAAATATCGCTATCTTGTAGAAGTAAGCCTCACCTGTCCTTTTTGAAGATAAAATTTGCAGCCGGCTTCGTTCCTTGGTTGGGGAGTAGTCAGGGAGAGCAGGGTAAGTCACATCTCATGCACCTCAGCACTCTTCCCTGCCTCTGCGGAATTGCTATTCCTCGGGAGCTGTTGTGGGGTGCCCCATGCCTACGAGTGCCATCACAGACTGCTTCAGGCCATGCTCCTGGCCTGGTCCCCAGAGCACTGACCGCTGTGAAGTCCTTGTCTCCTGACCATCGCCCCATCGGGGCTCTGACACAGGGCGGGACACTGGGGTCGCTCAGGAGAGGGGCACCGGCCCCACGCTGCAGGTCTGAGCCAACTCTGCCGTGGTTGTGTTTCCTGGTGAGAAGCCAAATGCACTCACTTTCCGGCTGAGCCTCCTCCCCTGGCTTTGGTCAGATTAAGCCGACTGGACTCTCACTCGCTCCATTCAGTTCCTGGACAGAGTGGTGTGAAGGAGCACGCGTGCTTGTTCTCTGTCCCCGGCAGAGGGATGTTGTTAACAGTAGTACTCACTCAGCCTGGCAAGCGGCGTGAACCTGCTCTGTCAGAAGGGGAAGTGTGTCACACCCGGTGTGTTTGTGCACCGTCTGTGCCTGCGGTGTCTCCTCCCTCCCTGCTTGCCTCTGTCCTCCTTTTCCTTCCTCTTCCTTTGTCAGTAGTGTGACTTCGGGGACCGAGGAGAGGGCCCCACAGTGAGGGAGAAGGCTCAGGGACGCAGGGTCCTGTCTCTGTCTTGCTTAGCACACAAGTGCACACTGTGGGCCTCACTTCTGTCCCTGTCACCTGTGATTCGCAGTCCCCGTCCACTCCCAGAGGTGACCGCATAGCTGACTGACGCAGCCACTGTGGAAGCTGGGGCCCGCTGTGCGGTGTCAACTGTGTCCCCTTCATCTCCCACTAACCCCCCGAGGACACGGGGCGTGTGCTTGGGGCAGGCTGACCTCTCACCCCTCTTTGCTTCCCCCACAGAGGAGGCGCACCAGTGTGGCAAGGGGCTCCTCATCCACTGCCAGGCCGGTGTGTCCCGGTCCGCCACCATCGTCATCGCCTACCTAATGAAGCACACTTGGATGACCATGACGGATGCTTACAAATTCGTCAAAGGCAAACGACCAATTATTTCCCCAAACCTTAACTTCATGGGGCAGTTGCTGGAGTTCGAGGAAGACCTGAACAATGGTGTGACCCCGCGGATCCTGACGCCCAAGCTCATGGGCGTGGAGACGGTGGTGTGAAGCTCGCCGCCGGGGCTGCGGGCGGGTAGATTCTGGTTTTGTCGGTTTTCTTTCTTTCTCTTTCTCGTTTTTAGTTGGAGGTATGGTTTGTGAATGGAAGCAAACTTGTTTAAAGACTTTTTATTTTTAACGAGTGTGAGAAGACCGTAACTTTTGAGGCCATCGAGATCCACGTCCTGCAAAGTGACAAGCAGGAATGTGGAAGAAGTCATTTGTTCAGCCGAAGACAAAAGTGTAACAGAACTGGGTCTTCCTCTTTTCCTTTTCGCTGTTTGTGGAGTTTACAACGAAATAGTCTGTGCAGGTTCATAGACCGAAGATGCCAAACCTTAAACCACTTCAGAAGAACCCAAAGTAAGAAGCAAGGACACTGAATGCTGCAGGCTCGGGTTCCCCGGGCCCCCCACGCAGGAAACCAAACGCAGCCCCGCAAGCCCCGCCTGCCCTCAGCATGGAAGGTCGGGGGCTTCGAGGACTCAGAACCCTCTGCCTTCTCTAAAGACACCGAGGATGCTGTTACTTAGTGTGTTTCATGCTCTGGAATTCTCCCCTCTCTGGTTTAGGAGATGATTTGGAATGACAAGGAAGTGACCATCACACCACCCGCCTTCACAGGCTTTGTGCAATAATGCGGTGTTTCGAGTATGCGGGGAGCTGAAGCTGGCACCAGCAGTTGACAGGGTGATTTGCCAGCCCAGGAGGGAGGAATTCAGCAATGCCAATTACTTCCCTCCCTCCCTTTTCCTTTTTCTTCTTTTCCCTTTGATTCGATTCTGGTTACAGTGCCACAAATCTTGTTACATATGTATATCAGAATGTAAAAAAAAGACAAAAATTTATTTAAAAATATTTTTCGCAAAAAAAACTTGGTGTGTTTCTGTTGATTGTGTAAAAATTTATTTTCATTATATAAATGAAACTCATTTCAGGATGTGTTGTTGCTTTTCTCCCCTCCTTTACCTCCACTAGGATCACCGTCTCTCCCCTTGTATCTAGAACCCTGTCCGGCAAACACAAGAGGTGAGACACATGATTTCATCCAGGGAATGGGAGGGGGCGGCACAGCGAACTCACATGGCACCTGAAGTGCCCCAGCATCCCCGTCCAGTCGCCCATCTTGTGCGGCGTGTCATATCTGCAGTCCTGCTCTGTACGCGGAGCCCCTGACATCCCATAGGACATGTGCAGGTGCAGCCGGGCTTCCCACCACCTACACCCTGCTCAGTTAGGGTCCTGTAGGCACAGGTGTATGCCACCTGCCTTTCATGGTCCTGACAGCCCCCTCCCCACTGCTGGCCCCTGGTCATGATGTCTCCAGTTCCTCCCAGCGGTTCTCAAGGTGTAAGGTCGGCTTCCCTAAGGCCCTGTCCCTGACCTTCAGACATGGGTCCATAGGTTCTCTGTGTTTTGTGACAATAGATGTCCAGAGGGACATGGCCGCAGGGGCTGTGCCGCAAGCTGAGGTTGGAAGGCGTGAGTGAGACTTGGACCCTTTTGTGTCTGATTCTCCCCGACTGCATTTGACATCAATATTTTAGTGAACATTTGCTTACAAATTTTATAACAAAATATTTTGACATTTACATTTTAAATAAAAAAGCTATTTAGATTTTTCTTTTATTATTAGAAAAGGGGAGGTTGAAGTTAACCAGAGTTCACCAAGCTGTTTGGGATTCTTTACTATAAAATGTTAATTAACTAAAGACTGAGTGCCTATTATGTTATTTTCTACACTAACAATTTGTTAGCAGACTACTTTCTGGATGCTAGGGCACATATAAAGTCAGCTTCTGATACATAATTAATGATTTAAAATATAGTAATTTTCTGACTTTTTTTGTTTAAATTTGAATGTTACATTTCTGATAGTGGGTAAAAGTTTATTTTTCTTTCTCCCTTTCTGTCTTTCTTTCCTTCCTTCCTTCCCCCTTCCTTTCTTCTCCCTTTCCTTCCTTCCTTCCTTCCTCTTTCCTTCCTTCCTTCCTTTCTTCCTTCCTTCCTGCAAAGCAAGGGAAAGAATCAATAGTTTCTGTTCTTCAGCTACATGGAAATGATTCATGTTTTTTGAGGTTTATGATTTTAGAAGAGTCTGTCCCGGCACAGACAGGACTCCTGCCCACCTGCGCCTGAGCATTCTGAGAGGGATGCAGATCCTTTCTACTCATCTGCTTTGAGGCATTCAGCCTCCATTTCTTCATGAGGAAGTTAACCATTTCATGAAGATAATGCAGACAAACCCAGCCATGGCTCCAGAGCTCAGACTCCCCAGCTTTTGCGGCCTCATGAGCTGCTCAGGAGCTTGGGGCTGAGCTAGGAAAGACTTATGTCTTCCTCAGAAAGAAGAGGTTCTGACTAATGAGTCATTGCTCCCAGAACCAGCAAGGGCTACGTGGTGCTGCTGAGCTTATGATTTAAGAGAATCTGTAATGTATCTAATAATTTTTTAAAAGCAGATGCAGTAGGCATTGTTACCTTAAGTGGAGCCAGACAGCAGCAGCCCCAGCTGTGCACACATTTATCCAGTGGCTGATGTTCTTCCAGTGGCTGAGTCCTAACCAGAGTGCAGCCGGCAGCCTGCGCAGAATGAACAGCCTTTGCCAGCTGCTGTTGGACAAAGGAGGTGGAGCGCGGGAGGCAGGAGACTGACCACAGAGGGCACGAACAGGATGGAAAGATGGATGCGTGTGACGTACAATCACATGTGGGCAAGGAGTGGGGAGTTCTGATCTGAAAGTTCACAGAAATGGGAGAGAAACATGGGGGGAGAAAACATGTCAGGAAAGAACTAGGAGCCCAGCCTCACTCCAAAGTTGACTAAGAAAGTGCCCTCACCAGATACCTCCTTCTGGGAGGCAAACCAGATTCAGATCAAGCAATACTGGCTTTCGCCATGGTTGTGGACAGACTCTTGGAAATAAGCCATACACACAATCGTGGGATCCCCCCAAACATGTGACATCCAACCTCAGATGTTTGGGTGTAAGCCATGAGCACAGACAGCTGTCATGTGTGGAGTGGGGGAGGGGGTGGGAGGGTAGAAAATGAACAAGCGCTGGCCTACAGATGGATGGGTAGTAACAAAGGGGTTAGTGTAAGGCGGTGAGATGTGGGTGCAGCGTTGCCCCTATGCCCCCATTTCCTCCTCTGAGACCACCTTTGTCAACGTACACTGCAAGATTCATGCCAGGCAGCAGAAACACGGGGTGGTGTGAAATAAGCTGGTTCCAGGGAGCAAAGCTCAGGCCCCGTGACACTGTATGAGACTCCAGCAGGGAGTATCGCTTCTGCCTGGTGATGGCTGAAAGTCTCCGGGCCGGTACCACCCTGGAAATGAGCTTGCCGCAAACTAGAGGAGTGTGAAAGAGGAGGAACTAGGAAGATAAATGAGGACCCTCCTCGGCCGTAAACCCACCCAGGTGGGGCTGCATGGGTCTAGGAGCCTCTGCCTTGCAGCTGAACACATGCCTCACCTGGACTTGGCGCAGCTAAATGTGGGAACTGAGAGGGAGCTTCAGGAGCTGCGAGCACAGCTTCTGCCCTACGTCAAGGTGAGTCACGGATCTGGTGAAACTGTGTGCAGTCGCGTTAGCACCTGGTGTCCCTCTGAGGCACAGCGCTGCTGCTTCACTTCTGCCCCTCTGACCGCATGCAGATTTCGCTACAGAAAATCTCAACCCATGGCGGACAGGAAAGGCAGCGCTGGGTCTGGGACCTGTAGTTCCTGATGTGGCCACCACAGTCCACCCCTTGCCAACCTGCCCACCCGTGCTCACTGCTGTCCACCATACAGAATGTCCAAATGCAGACACTAGAGAAACGATGCTCCTACCTACAGGAACTTTCTCAAGCACAGGTGAAAACACATTCCCCCTCCACCCGTAGCTCCTTTGTTACTTCATTATTTGAGCATAATGCTAAATCCTCTTCTAACTAAAATCCACTCTCCCTTTGATGTGCTGCACTTTAAATACTGGGGTATAAGGATGGCTGAAATGTATTTTCCAAAAAGATGTGTTGATCTTTTTGGACAACTCTGAGCTTATTTGGAAGTATAGTCTTGTAGATGCAGTGAAGGCAATGACAGGTCATACTGGAGCGAGATGGGCTTAGTCAATGCCCGTTGTACTTATAAGAAAAGGCAAGTTTGGACACTCACATACACAGAGAAAAGAATGTCGTGTGATCTTGGAGGCAGAGATTGGTGTGATGCATCTGCAAGTCTCTGTTGTGAGAAGCCACACAGTTGGCAGTACTTTCTACAGCAGCCCAAAGCAAACAGATACAGAGGATCGCTGATATCACCTTTCCTACTAGATGATAAGTAGGGCAGAAAAAAAAATCAGTAAATACATAGACATATATTTCCACAAAAATAAGAACTATTGCTAACTCTCACCGCTCTTGTGTCTGTAGCTGATGTCTGTAACTTCCTCCCTCCAGTACGCAGCTCTTGGTCCTCAGCAAGCACCGCACAGCTCCTAGTCATGGTGCCTTACCTGTGGAGGTCACTTGGACCTTTGTTTTAGAAGGATCCGGGCCTTGGCAACAGAGCATAGGTTGGGTTGCTTTTCACGTACTTTGTTACAGTAACAAAAGTTGTTACAGGACATGACTGTGTGGGAGATGCCTTTGAATTCCAGATACATTCCCTCTCCGTCCTACAGCCTTGTATGGGTTCCACTTCCTTTGATAGTCACAGTTATCCCAGCTAGCACCCTGAGACCCGGGGCCTCCACACTAAGCTATATACCTAGCCCTTTGCAGTATTATCTTTTGTGACAGGGTCTTGCTAAGTTGCCCAGCTGATATTGGTTGATGATTTAGAGAATTTATTGCATCTTTCAGAACATTAGCTTTGCCCTGTAGAGTGCCCCATCCGGCTAGCTTAGAAACGGAACTTTCAGAAGAGCCATTCCACCCTTCAGCTGCTTTGAAGTGATGGAGAACATGCAAAGACCAGTGAATTCTGTGAGCATGCAGCTTGGCCACAGCTCATTTAGCATGCAGCACTGTCCTTGGTCAGAAACAGAGCACTGTGGAATACCATGGTGGTGCAGAAGATGTAGAGTCCTGTAAGTTCACAGGTGATTTTGCTGAAAGTATTGCAGGCCTGAAAGGCAAATCCAGTTACAACTGACATTTATGGAGTAAGAACAAACCACAACCCTTCCGTGTCAGAAGAGATCCCCATTACCAACTTTCTTGCTGTCAGAGAGACTGCTGGTTCTCTCAGACCATTGTGCTATGTTAGGGACTCAGAGTCGGCCTCACTTTTGGTGAGTCAGACACTTACCAGTGGCTACAGTCAGACCAGCCTTGGTACTCACTTGGGAGAACTTGATACTACTAGGCCCATGCAGAAGCTATGTGTCTAGACCACGGCTACTCTGTTCATAACCCAATTAACCAAGGAAGGGAGGGTCTGGAGAGAGTGACCTGACAGAGTCACAGAAAGTGCCATCCCACCACTCACTATTCAGCTCTTTCTCTCCTGGGGCTGAGCACCCGCTCTGTGCCGATGCAGGGGTGTCGGTCCGTCTTCCCCCATCTTTCCTGTCACCAGCATGTCTCTTCTAAGTCCCTGATTATACATCTGTCCACTAATGGCTGCCCTTGAAGCAATGAAGATGCACGTCTGAGGTGCAGAAGGAAGGACTGGGTGCGCTAACCGAAGTCAGCCCACTGGAAACTTCTACTCACCTCTCCTCCTGGGTCACCCAGGACCTGGCTGCAATGATATAGCCATTTAGTTTGTGTGATCCTAAGGTACTGTGCAAAGGCCTTAAGAAAGATCAAGTATGTCTTCAGTCCACTGGTCACTGAGAACTTCCGATGAGCTCTAGATGTAAGTTCCGGGGTGCCAAA